AAAAATTGTTTTTTTTTTTTTTTTTTTTTTTTTTTTTTTGGTTGCTTGGGGTTCTGTTTGGGTTTGTAAATTATTTTTTTTTTAAAGCAATTTAAATTGAGTTTACTGCATTTCCCATTGCAGAGCCGAAGGGAAGACCTGGTCACCCCCTGTTCTGGAAGATGGCAAGGCTCAAGCTTACCGGATCAACATAGAGCCGGAACCGCAGGTACGGCGGCAGCAGCCCTGCACAGGCTGGTCTCCCAACTTGTTTTTCTGGGGAGAGGAGATCCATGTCTGGAATCTGGAAAGCCCTCTGCTCTGCCTGCAGTCCTTCCAGAGGTTAAGGAGATGCTGTGTGGGGTTTTATAACATCGTGCCTGTTAGACTTTTCCGCGTGGGTCTCGCTGTGCTTTCCTTGGGCTGGTAAAGCTCAGGCTCCTGTGGTGAACCAGATCCCTGAACTGATCTGGCTTAAACCCAGCTCTGTAATTGTCCTCCACCCAAGTTAGGCTTTGTTGAATCAGCTTGCCGGTGGCACCGAGGAGGCTGGGCTGTGCCGTTGGGTGGGCAGCACCCAGCACCAGACCCCTCCTCGAGGCCAGTGACCAAGCTCGTGGTCAGCATTATTTTTTCTGGGGCTATTGGAAGCCTTCGTCAGGTGCTGCCCGCTGCCTGCCCTTCCCACAGGCCAGCACACCCAGGGGCTGTTGGCATCTGCCCCCAACGTGCCTCCGTCTCGGCTGCTTCCAAAATCCACCACACCCTCCTAATCCTGTGGTGGTGATTCACTTCACATGGTGGTAGATCTTATATTTCTTTTGTAATAGTCTCTAGTCTCTTTCTTTTTTTTTTTTTTTTTTTTTTTTTTTTTTTCCTGTCTCACTCCTTTCCTTTTCCTTCTCTCTGTTTTGCAGCTTGTCTCTTCCCTCTGTCTTCAGCTCTCTTCCCTCCTGCCAGCACTCTGCCTGCAGCCTGCCCTGCCTTCCCACCCTGGGGGCTCTGAGAGCTGGGGTGAGGGTGTCTCCAGCCGCAGCCTGCTACCAGGAGGTGGATGGAGCTGGATATATCTCCGTCTTTCGTACCCATCTCTTGACTAATAGCTCATTAGCAAGGTCAAAGATGACTCTCATTCTCCTTTGGCTCCTCAAAGGGAAGGGGAACGGTGTCTCGCTTCTCTCTTTCTGCCTCTGAGTTACATGACTGTTGGGTTTGTGGGTGATGCTGTAGAGGTATCTGGGGAATGAGGAGGAGATAAGGAGGAGGGAATGGGGCCAGGGGGAGCTCCTGCTGCTTTGCTCCCCCTCCAGTGGGTGCCGAGCTGATGCACGTGCTGCAGGCTTTCCCAGGGCGCATGAGGTCGTGGATGGCAGGACCAAAACCTGCTGGGACTTCTCAGAGCTGCAGGTTGGCCAACCCCTCCCAGAGCACTGGTGGAGGCACCGGAGCTGCCTGCAAGCTTCAGGAAACAAAAGTACATCAGTTCGGACTGACAAAAAAACCAAAAACAAACCAACCCTGCAATTGCAACAGCAACACAGCAGCACTCTTGTGCTGATGCTGAGCGTTCAGATATTGCTCGTACGGTTCCGGTCTCTGCAGAGGTGGTTTCTGTTATGGGCTGTTTCGCCAGAGTTTTTTTTCTCCAGCCCTTGCACAGTGCCCATGTGAAGATGCTGCTGGCTGAGCTCTGCTGCTCATTCCTAGAGGTGGCTCTTCATGTGTCCCGACAAGGGTCCCAGGGTCCCCCCACGGCCCTTCCTTGGCTCAGTCCAGAAGGAAAAAAGACCTGCAAGGGTGGATGAGGGTGGGATGATGCTCCGAGGAGCAGCGTTGGCCTCGTTTGCCTTTGAGCAGCTGGGAGATGGCACTGACAGCAGAGACGTCACCGAACGACAAGGATGGGGTTGAGATTCTCCAAACCCTGTGAAGAGCAGACCCACACGGTCACACCTATGATTGTTGGCCATTGCAGCCCTGTGACAGATGGGTAGAACTTGCAAATATTCTGCGTCCCTGCCCCAGAGCAGCAGCAGAACGGCAGCACCAGCAAACCCGCCCCGGTATCGCACCCGAGTGACTCAACGGGTCTGCTCGTCTTTGCTGCCCTGACTGACAGAGGAGGGTGATCTGTGTGCTTGGGCTTTGAGTTCTGGCCATGTTTGCTTCATTAATCAATTACAGCAATCTTTTTTTGACAGCTATTTTTTCTTAATAGACTTTGATGTGCCCAAAACCCTATGAATAATGTTAAATAAGGACCAAATGTGCAGCAGTTCCGCTGCCAGATACAACATTTCTGAGGTTTAATGCAGATTGGATTTGAATCTGACTATTAATATATGTTACATATGGATCCTTTTAAAAATTAGACAGTTACATAGAATATAATGAGGGGGTAGAGATGTTTTTTTCCTGAATCCAGACCTGCGCTGATAACATTTAAATCTGTGGAGCACTCAGTGTGTCTGGGGCCGGGCACGGAGAGGGGCGTATGGGCGAGAACACGCAGGTATGGACAGCAGGTTCCTGCTTTTGTTCTCTTTTTCAGTGGCTGCATCTCCACGTTGTCTCACTTGACAGCTTTTCTGGTCTCCCAGAGAGGAGGTGAAGGAGGCACCACTCCTGCTCTTGCGGTGGTTGCACCCTCGATGTGCTGGTTGACTCTTCTCCCTCCCCAGACTGGCTGTACCGCGAGCGTGGTTCGCTCTGCTCAGAACCTGTGCCGGTAGCTGTCCTGACCCCCGTGTGAGGGCAAACTTGCAGGATGACGAGGGGGAGCATCAGCACCCGGGAGTGGGGGTGCTTGCAGCCCCGTCCCGTCCTCCGGGAGCAGAGATCCCGTTTGTGGCTGGAGTCCCCTACGGAGCGGTGCTGCGTGACCCAGGGCTGTCCTGTGCTGCCGTTGTTCAGCGCCTGTAGCAAAAGATTGTGAGAGAGAAAAGACTCACTGTAAAATAACAGCTTGGCTCAAAACACGCAACCTTTAGGTGCACTTCCTCGCATCTGGAAAAAAGCAATCTGCTTTGAAACACAGGGAAAAAAAATTCTGCTGGAATTCTGCTCCCGAGTCGCAAAAATAGGTTTGGGGTTGCCCTTGAAAAGGGTTTTGAGAGTTTGACCCCACGTGGCCTTTCCAGTAATGTGGAGTGCATGTCTTCCCTTCTCCCAGGTTTTACCCTACCAAGTTTTCCATTGTACTGGGCAAAGAGGTCTTGACAGTTTTGACTTGTGGCTACGGTAATTCTTGCTGGAGGCCCTGAAACACGTGAACATAAGCCGAATGCCTAAATCTCTGTGATTTCTAGGAAAGCGTGTCCCCTATAATTACATTTCAGTTTATTTAGGTGCAATCCTTCTCTCGAAGGCAGTGATGCCTGCTTTTTTTTTGTGCTAGAGAACCTGGAAGGTATGGATCAGCTGTTGGGCTCTCCTGTCCTCTCTTTCTACATCTGTTGTGGTTTGTCAGTTGAGTTTTGTGGAAAAATCTCTATTTGGAGACCAAGAATGTAATCAATCCTCCTCGGTAAAACTTTGGTTAATGCCATAACTGCAGGGAACAACTGCCCTCACCGCTGAAGAAGCTGGAAGTGGGGAGAGAGCTGCTTGTTCACAACCAGCCGAAATTTCAGTGAACAGGATGCTTGTGAGTCACCTTGGTGAAATACTACTTTTAAAAAAAGCAGACTTTGGTTATCGGTTAGTTACACAATGCAAGTCTGCCCTCAGCAGCAAGGGTTTGTAGAGGGGGATGCAAATTCGGTGACGTTCAGGCTTGCACCCTAAATAACGAAGGGCTGAGTCTTTGTCAGACCTGGCCGTGGGGGGCACCCAGGGGATGCTGCGGGGTGACTCGGTGCTCTCCAGACGGTCGTGTGACGTCGGGGTCACCATCGTGCAGACGTGACATCACTGCTGACGTCCTAGGATCTCTAGACTCGCTTTGCCACCGACTGTTCACCCGGTGTTGGCATCGCCGAGGGCTCCGTCCCGCCCTTCCCTGGCAGACAGGGAGAGCAGGAGCACTGATCTATCAGTTTCTGGAAATCCCACTGTCTTCAGCTTCTTGTAGCATGAGCTTGCTAGTCAAAATACTGCCATGTGGTGCTAATAAAAGGAGAGGATGTTTGTTTTCTTGACCGTTCCCATACTGCCAGAATTGGCAGCTTTCTGGCCCGGGGGACTGGAAATGTGGGCTTCGGGCCTTGGGGCAGAGCTCCATCAGTGCTAATTGAGAGTAGATCAGGTGTCTGGGTGTGAGAATAATTTCAGCAGAAATTAAATTGGCAGTGTTTAGCCGGAGCTGGAATAGGGCGAGTCCTCCCAAACCTGGACGCTTGGCTAAAATAAGCTCCGTGGGGTGAAAAGGCTGGGTTGAAAGGCTGGGTTTCCTCCGGTGTCCGGAGAGGGAGAGGCACTTCCTCAGCCCCATTCCCACAGGAATGGCATCCCAGTGCCACCCAGCTGGCGGAGCAGCACCCGTGTCCTCCTCGGGTGGAGGGATGGGGCGGTGGGGCGGTGCTCCCGTCCCCCTTGGCTGGGTCGTCTCGTGCTGTGCCCCGTGAGCAGCAGCTTTCCGAGCCCAACCGTGCGGCTGAGGGCTGAGCTCTGAGCTGTGGGGAAGAGCTGGTCCTTCCGTAGTGTCCAGGGAGTTGTACGGGAAGGATGAGAAGGCTGTTTCTTCTCTTCACTTTTTTTTTTTTTTTTTTTTATTTTTTTTTAATACAATGTGTTATTTTGCGCTCCACACCGAATTCTCAGTCCGTAGAGGTTCACGTTAATTTGCTGTGACTAAATCAGGCGTGAAGCTTGCCATGTGAAAACACCAGCCAGGATGGGGTAAAGAGGAGGAACTGGGGCAAACTTACATCTTCCATAGCTGTTCAAACAGCCTGAACCAGGCAGTGCGAGAAACCCAACGCTACGTGCAAGCCAGGCCAACACCCGACACAAAAGTACCCGATTCCCTTCGTTAAAAGTTCCGTTGTCAGGTGGGCTCTGGTCTGTGTGGCTGCAGGGCTGGAACACGCTGAAGAGGTGATGCTGGCTGGCAGGACACGGGTGACCCTGCTTTTTGGTGCCTGGCTTCTCCCTTCACGCGGCCTCTGCATCATCACCCCCATGAGCTTTGCATGCCTGCCCCCACCTCAGAAATAGCCACCTCTTAATAGTATCAGTCTGTTATTCTGCTGCTCACGCTCGCTCCTAATTAAAAAAAACTTCAGGTGT